TTGGTGGCTTCTCCTGTTTTTGTTCACAGCACGGTGAAGACCCTAGGGTCCTTGATGGGGAGCCAGCTACTTCACATGAGACCTGGGGAGCTACAGATGCTGTGTCCACAAGAGGCCCCACGAGTCCAGACACGGCTGGAGGCTGTCAGAAGGATGCTGGGGGTAAGGACACTCTGGGGTCCTGGCTCCTGCTGAGAGGGCCTGGTCCTCCCAGCAAGAGAGTCCGAGTACTGGGTAGACAAGCCAGCAGGCCCAGTCCTGGGTGGAACTGAGTGTGGAAGGTACTGAGCATGAGATAGTCCTCCAAGGGTGTGGCTTCATGCATTCAGGCATGCCTCGAGGCTCCAAGCTTATTGGTGGCAGGACCTCTGGGGCTCTCTCACCTGGCAGAGCCTCATCTGAATTCTTTTCTTCCCTCAGATGAGTCCTTAGGCACCATCTCAAACACTTCAAGACCAAGGATGTCTCTCCTATGCAAGATGGAGTATTTGATATTTTAGAACCCTGAGAATTCCTCTTCCAGCTCCTCAGTTTGCAGCAAACCACACAGCTGGAGAGCTCACACAGAAAAGAGGATTAACAGGCCCAGATGTTGTGGCAAATGGTACCCTTTCTTGCTGTGCTGGGATCATCCCCAATTACTACCTATTTATTTTACCTCTTTCCTAAGTCTGGCTCACTTATGACTAGGCCTGTCAGGAGTTGGTTTACTCCCTCATCTTCCCAATAAAAGCATCTTCAAGTCTGTTATATGTCTCCCTTGCTGCTTCTTCTGGGCCTTATGGGAGCCAAAGACTGTGAGGTAGGAAGATCTGAGGTATGAAACAGCAGCAACCTTACATTCGTCACAAGGTCAGATGATCTGAATGGGAGAAAGAATTCACACTACAACCTGGAACTGGGAATCAGAATTTGAGAGCTATGGTCCAAGTTCTTCTTTCTAAGCAAACACCAAAATGAAGCTATGGTCACCATCCCCACCCTTCTGTGTATATGTCTCCTAATACAGACCAAGGCATCCAGCACGGCTGAGGGCACAGAAGTGGTAAAGAGCACCAGGGTGACAGCTGCAGGTTTTAACCATCACTGGTTGATGGTCCAGAGAAGCACTAAATAAAACAAGGCAGGTGTTCCAGGAAGTTGTTAACTTCCTCTTTCGATGCAACTTTGCCCCTGCTGTTAAATGAGCCAACCTTAAGTTCCCTCCCCAGTTTCTCTTTAGTGACAGAGCATAAGGAACTGATAGGTGAAAGTCCCACAGTCAGCAGTGTGAACTCCACCAAGTCATCCCACTTCTGGGTTCCTGTTCTAAGATTAGGTGAAGAGTGTGGATTGGCTGTAGCTTCCAATATCTTTTAATGTAAGTAACCTACTTTAATCTCCAAACTGTCATGGTATGAACACTTATCTCCACATAATCAGAGTTTTACTTTAATTGGTTTAATCTACAATTATGAATTCAAGTCTACCTTGAGGGTTTTTAAAGTGTTCCTTAGTCTCTCAGCTGAATTTGTCTATGACCTTAACATTGTCTGGGGCCCAAGTTGCCCTATTTTTAGACTGCCTAGGTCATTCCCTCAACTTTCCAGCTTCAGAAAATCATTCCTTGTAGGTGGTAACACAGAATAGGAAAGCAAAAATTCCCTCACAAGAGAAAAAGGGCAAAATCCTTAGGGTCTGACTTGTTAAGGACAAACATAGCCAAAAAAGTTAATTTCTTAGAATGAGTCAAGGCCCATTGCCCCTGAGGCCTCATAGAGTTGAAGGAGCACTGGCCACAGGGAAACCCTACAGGCCCTGAAAAAGGAATAGTATCTTAACACATTGTTCCCCAAGTTTCAGAGAAAAGACTGAGGTGAAATGATGGGCTGCCCAAATACAGTGGCACTACCACAAGTTAGTATTAGACATGAGTCTGAACCCCAGATCATCCTTGGGATCTTAAGTGACTCACCTAACCTCTCCAGGCCTCAGTTTACCTCCTATAAAATGAAAATAACACTTACTTTACAAAGTTGTTGTGATGCTTAGATTGGAATAAATTACCTAACATATATGAAACACCTGTGCTATTGCCTGGCATATCATAGCTATTCAAAAAAAAAAAAAAAAAGCTAGTCTTATACCTCAAGTTAATTTGGGACTAGCCCCCTTGTTCTTTTGGGAAAAGAAATACAGGCTTTGGGCTAGGGCTGTAGCTCAGTGGCAGAGCACTTGCCTAGCATGTGTGAGGCACTGGGTTTGATCCTCAGAACCACATTTAAAAATAAATAAAGGCATGCTGTCCATCTATAACTATAAAAAAACATTAAAAAAAGAAACACAGGCATTATAAATTCATGCGTCCCTATGTTTGCACTTTTCCCCCTTTTTAGCAAAATGTCTTTTTAAAAAGTCCTAAGTTTGCTTTAGCTGAACTAAAGGGTTGAGATAATGTGATCTCCCATACCCAGACTAGAGGAATAGTGGCTTGGACCTCTAGGTGGCCATGCTGTGCAGGCCGGACAGGAACCCTGAGAGCAGCTGTAGACTCCCCCTCTTCCACTCCTCCATAGAGTTCCCACAAATCCTCTCTCCTGCTCAACACTGACACTATTACAAATCTCTACCCCTTTTACATTCTCATGAGCACTGCATAAACACAGAGGGTAGTTCTTCTCAAGACTGCAGGAACCTCCCACAGATCTCTTGCTGTATCAAGATCCCCATGACACCCACATTGCTAAATCCAACTGTTACTTCTCAGTCTTCATTTTCCTTGACCGAGCAATCCCATTAGACATAGTTGTTCATTTCCTCCTTCAAGGGTCTTCACTTGGTGTTCCTCCTGCCTCCCTGGCCAGACTCCTTTTCAGACTTCTTTCTATCATTCTCCAGCTTCTAAATGTTGTGCCACAGCACCCCGAAACCTGCAGATCTCGTCTCTTCTCCACTGCTCTCACTTCCATGGCAATCTCTTTGGTCTCACTGTTGAAATGCTATGTGCACAATGATTCCCTGTACTTACCACTTCCTTCTGCCTGGAGATCTCCCCAGCCTGCTGCACCCACAGCCCCCACAGCACAGCAGCTTGATCTCACACCTGTTCAGGTCTGTGCTTAAAGGTTAACATCTCAGTGAGACCTACCAAAATTCGTTCTTCAAAAACACAAATCCCCTTCCTGCTGGGGTTCTCCTACCTTTCCCCACCACTATTCCTTCTTATTCTCCTCTGCCTTCTCTCTCTTTTCAGTACTGGGAGTTAACCCTTGGGTTGCATTTACCACTGAACCACATCCCCAGCTCTTATTTTAATTTTATTTTGAGACAGGGTCTCGCTAAGTTGCCCAGGCTGGCCTCAAACTTTGGATCCTCCTGCTCAGCCTCCCAAGTCTCCAGAATTACAGGGATGTTCCACCACAACCAGCTTTAAAATATCCCCCACTGCCTGCCCTATCCATTGGGAATCAAACCCAGCACCCACTGAATGCTCGAAAAACTCTCCCACGGAGCTATCTCCCCAGCTGTATTCCTCTTTAGTTTTCTCTCCATAGGACATGTACCACTATCTGACTTATTATATATTCACTAAGTATTTGGTTATTTCTGCCTCTCTCCATTAGAATGCAAGCTTTCAGAGGGAGGAATTCTTGCTAATTTTTTTGAGTTCTGTATCCCTAGCATCTAAAACGGTGCTGCCCATGATAGGCATGTTAAAAACATTGCTGGGTACATGAATGAGTGAAGGCAAAAATTATAGTATCTTTCCTTCTCCAATCCACACTACACAAAGAAGCTACATTAATTTCTCTAACGGACATTGGCAATATCACTCACCTCAGCACAGCTTCCAAATCTGCACTGTTCAATAGAGCAGTCATGAGCCACATGTGGCTACTGAGCAGGTGAACGGTAGCTGGCTCAAATTGAGACTAGTTTTAAGTGTAAGATACACACTGTGTATTGAAGACAATACAAAGAATAAAAACATTTCGATAATATTATACTAATTATATGCTGAAATTACAGTACTTTAATACATTGGGGCTAAATAAAATGTATTTATCCACTCTCCTGTTTTTACCAGAAACAAATATTTTAAATCCTATGTGAGGCTTCCACTACATTTCTATTGGACAGTATGATCTAGATACTCCCCATAGACCAGAGGAAAAAAACTTCAAATTTCCCTTTCTCATAGTCAAGGCCCTTTACAACCTGACCCCCACATGCTTTTCCCATCCTCCCTCTCTCTGTGCCTCCTCAACACTCATAAACCAGCCTACCTCGACAGTACTTGCTGTTTCTTCTAACACACATGTATTTCCCACCTTCCCGTATTTATTCTGCCCTACTGCTGCCTGGAGTGCCCTTTGTGGCAATGCCCACGGCCTATCCTTCCTCAGTAACCTTGCTCAAATGCCCATCTCCTCCGTGAAGCCTTCCTAGAACCACCCTCTGTCCTGGCCTGAAGAGATCTCTCCCTCCAAACTATCTTAGGTGATGTCTTGTGCCCTGAATCACTTCCTACTTGGCGGTTTTATGGATTTAAGTAATTAATGGGTTTAACATCAAGCTCTCATTCCCCAGTCCTTCCCCGATGCTTAACAGTGGAGCCAAAGATGGCGACTCAGCTGGGTGGTCAGAATCCGGTCCAATTATCACGAACTGTTCTAGTCCTCTACCGCACCCATGAATCTGACTCTCCCTGGGTAACTACTGCCTGGTTGCACTTCCCGCCCTGGCAATATTAACTACTGAAGTGAGGCTCCCGCCCGTGGGGAAGCACAACTGCATTAAGCGAAGGTTTTGCACACCTGCGGGTCTCCTGCGAGACCGCGCGAGGGCGTACTGCCCGCAGAAGTCGCGCATGCGCGTGATATTGTGGCCATGCGGAGGGCGGGAACGAGGGCGGGGGCGGAGTCGGGCGGCTCACGTTGGCCCCGCCCAGATACGTCGAATATAAAACCTCGCCCTCGCGGTTTACCCCCAGTCTTTGAAGCCCCGCACGTTGCTTCGCTATGTCGTCTATGGTTCTGGGTTATTGGGATATTCGCGGGGTGAGTGCCTTCGCAGTTGCCCAGCAGCTGCGTCAGAGACGGGGAAGTGGCCAGGGCTCTGGGGCAGCGGCTCTGTGAGAAGAAGCTGTAGGTGGGAGCCCTTTTGCAGCGAATACCATCACCTGAGCTGCCCAGCCTCAAATGCTGACGACCCCCGCCCGGCCTCTGGGATCACTAGGCCCGGCGGGGAGAGCCCAACGGCCGCCAGTCTGTGGGGGTCGCTTAACAACCGCCTCCAGCCGGTTACAGGGTCTTTGGCAACCCTGTGCCGGGGAACGTTGGCGGGCGGGGGTTGGGCGCGGGTCGGACCCGCGCAAGCGCTGATCGGGGGCTGTCTCCTGCAGCTGGCGCATGCGATCCGCCTGCTTCTGGAGTTCACGGATACATCCTATGAGGAGAAACGGTACATTTGCGGGGAAGGTAATATCACTTTGGAACTCATACACCATTCCCCTAAGCCAAGCTGCCTCCACTGTCCTTGTCTTCCTGTGCCCAGAGTGGCATCACTCCACTCTGGTGGGACATCTGCCCCTATCACCAGGGAACTCCTTGCATTGCTGTGTGAGAAGTGCGTACTTTACATCGACCTGGGGATTCTCCTTACCTCCATGGCCCCAACCCCTTCTTAATACTTAATCGAATGGTTCACAGAGACTAAAAGGTGAAGTTTGGGGAGCTGGGTATTAGAAGTATTAGAACTAAGTCATTTCTAGATCTTTCCACTCTCTCATCAGGTGGGCTGTTAAAGATGTTGAGTCCCATTTCTCTTTCTCACAGCTCCTGACTATGATCGAAGCCAATGGCTAGATGTGAAGTTCAAGCTAGACCTGGACTTTCCTAATGTAGGTGTCCTAGGGAGAGGAGTGGGCAGAAGGGAAGGCCTTCAAGTATATCCATTTTACTGTTTCCTATTCTGATCTGGGAGGGTCTAGAATAAGGGTTCTTAACACGGATAGAAGAGATAAAAGGATCCTTGAACTAGAGAAAAAAAAATTACATTTCATTTCTACTAACGAAAGTATTCCTCCATTGTGAAAAAGGGTAATAAGCAATGTGAGTTATTAGCTACATCTGTGACTTTATCACTAGTAAAAATCAGGTATTTTCATGCTCTAATAAATGTATTTCAGATATCTCAAATGTTATATTCATCACTAAAATTACGGTGGTTATTACATCCCTTTGCTATTACATTAATAAGCACATATTACTTTAGCACAATTTTGCTGTAAAATGTTTTATAATTACCTAAATACATGCAATTTGCATTTTAAAACCTTATTCTGAAAAAGGTTTCATGGCATACACATATGCACCCAATATACCTAGACTTAAGAACCCTTGCTAGAATCAGGTGGAACCCATTACTACCTTCTACCTAATTTTTTAATTTCTCTTCACACAGCATCTTCTCTCTCTTGTTTACCACCTTGTCAGTCTCCTCTTCCCCGGAAGAAAGAGATTGTCCATTTGGCTTCTCCTTTTCCTTCCAGCTTCCCTATCTCATGGATGGGAACAACAAGATCACCCAGAGTAATGCCATCTTGCGCTACATCGCTCGCAAGCACAACATGTGTGAGTTGGGTAGGGCTGGTGAAAGAAATCTATTTGCTTACAGTGGGGTATATAATTTCAAGGGTGGTTATTATTTGGCCTACAGGTGGTGATACCGAAGAAGAAAAGATTCGAGTAGACATCATGGAGAACCAAATAATGGATTTCCGCATGCAACTGACTCGCCTCTGCTACAACTCTGATCATGTGAGTTTTCTCAGCAGGCATCAGCTGAGCAAATTTCCTTTCTACTGTTGTTCCCACCAACCCAATCTGTAAGAATAGGAAATAGAACTTTTTTTTGGGGGGGGGGGGGGGGGGGTTTGCATGTTTTTGTCATGTAATTCTGATATGGGTTCCTCCACTTTTCCAAACCTTTTCTTTCCATTCTGCCATCTTGAAGTGAAGACAGTGAGAAGGAAATCCCTGGAGAAGGGGCTACAAAGTGTCCATTCTTAGCCTGTGCTCTAATTTATCTATATAGATGCTGGTGGTGGCTATTCTCACTGTCTTTCCCTCTCTTCCAGGAAAAAATGAAGCCTCAGTACTTGGAACAGCTACCTGGACAACTGAAACTATTCTCCTTGTTCCTGGGGAAATACTCATGGTTTGCAGGGGAAAAGGTAGGAAGTAGAGGAAAGGAGAGGATAGCTTTCTGTTTCTGCAGGTGTTCGTGAACTCCCCACACCTAACCATCTTATTTTCTCCTTCTAGCTTACCTTTGTGGATTTTCTCACCTATGATGTCTTAGACCAGAACCGTATGTTCGAGCCTAAGTGCCTGGATGAGTTCCCAAATCTCAAGGCTTTCATGTGCCGCTTTGAGGTAATGCTGTCTATAACTTTCTTACAGAAACATTCACAGGCTCCTTAGGCCCTCAGGGTCCCACTATAGTAGATGCTTGTCCAATACCATCTTTTACCTGAAGAGGTTGATGGCTGTATACCTCTGTGCTTTCAAGTCTTGGGCAGGGTTTCCACACCCCAAAGTCATAGTCTACAAGAAATGGAGAAAAATTGGAGGCAGGCAGCATGTGGATATTGTTGTTTTGGTTTGAGTCTGTTGGGCTAGGTAAGGGTCTTTATAAAGTTTGGTGTGCTTTCCCTTCAGGCCTTGGAGAAAATAGCTGCCTACTTGCAGTCTGACCGTTTCTTCAAGATGCCCATCAATAACAAGATGGCCAAGTGGGGCAACAAGTGTATATGCTGAGCAAGAGAAACAGCTTGTTTTGTTCCATCCTATACCTAGGGGCCTACACTCTTCTCTGCTCTTTCCAATAAATAGCTCTTGGGTTACCCGTGTCCAGCTGAATTTCTCTTGGGTGTAAAGGCCAAAGGAGAATAAGGATCTGTGAACAACCACCAAGATATAAATTTAGTCACTGCAACATTAATATTCCCTTACTCCCCAACTGAGTTCAAGGTCTAGAAATTAATCATCAAAGCTTGAGAGCAAGTATTAGAAATGTACTGCACAGTTGGAGAAAGAAGTTATTTTAAATGGGTCCATTACATGGACATCATGTAAATACTCATTAATCCTGTGAAATACCATGTGGCAGTTAAAGAATGATACTGAAGTGTGTGAACTCACATGGAAGGATTTTCAAGACACATTGTTGAATTTCAAAATTAGTTTGCAAATTAATATATACAGCATGACATCTTTTATCATTTTTGAAAGTGAGAACGTGAGGTATTTCCATATATACACAATGTAAGTGATTGGGCACTGGAGGGAAACAATGAAACTGATAACAAGGCTTACTTCAGACAAAGGGATGGAAGGCCCAGAACCTAAAGGGGAATTCTAAGATGCAGCCAAGTTTTCCTTTTTTTTTTTTAAACTAGGAGAATGTATTCATGACCTACTTACATAATCAAAACTAGTTTTTTCCTTTTTTTTTTTTTTTTTTACATTTTTATTTTTTAGTTTTCGGTGGACACAACATCTTTGTATGTGGTTCTGAGGATCGAACCAGGGCTGCACACATGCCAGGCGAACGCGCTACCACTTGAGCCACATCCTCAGCTCCTCAAAACTAGTTTTAAGGAAACAAAACTTAGGGTAACTGATTCCTATGGAAATTGAATTGTCATCAACTATTCCATTACGTAGCAAAGTCAGAAGTCCTTACAAAGAAACTCTTAACAGCCTTAGGAGTTACCTGTGGGCCAGATTGCTATCCCCTGTGGACCAGAAGCCAAGGATCTCTCTGTAGTGAAGGGGAAAGGGCTTGATGACTATAAGACCCAATGATGTAAGGAGGTGGCCTCAAGATGGGTAACACAGACATGTTCAACTGCCACCCCTGCCAGCAATAGTTTGTCCAGGCCAACTTTTTAGGTATGGGGAACATTTTGCTATAAGAGGTGTAAAGACAAGAAGTTTCTCTTCAGTCTAATAACATATAAATTTGCAGCATATGAGGGAGTGGTGTGCTGTAGGGAAACCTTTTGGACTTAAAAGAATTGAGCATGCCTTGGGGACTAAATAGATGACAACCAAAAATGAAAAGGGGATATTTTATTTATTGTTGTATAATGATATTACCACAAATTTAGCAGCTGACATTTTTCATCTCAGTTTTTATGGGTCAGGAGTCTGGCTCAGCTTTATTGGGTGCTCAGCTGTTTTCATCCCAAAGCTACACTCAAAATGTCAGTCAGGAATATGACATTAGCTCAAGGATCAATTGGAGGAGGACCTCCTTCCAAGTTTATGTGATTGCTGATAGAATTCAGTTCTTTGTTGACTGCTGGACAGAGAACCTTAGTTTCTTGCTGGCTGCCAGCTAGAGACCAGCTTCCCTTCCTTGCAAAAGGGGCTGCTCACCATGTCCACTTGTTTCATCAAAGCTAGTAAAGAAGTCTGGAAAGAAGGACACAGGATTCTTTGACATTACATCAATGACATTACATTGCTTTATCCTTTTCTATCAGAGGCAAGTCACAGGTCCTGTCCACAATCAAGGGGAGGGGATTGCACAGACATGAGTACCAGGAGGCAAGTTATGGGAACCATCTTACAATCTTCACCACAGGGTAAGAGACAAGGAAACAGGAAGTCAGTCCTGCAATCCTCTGTGTAAAGAATTCTGGAAAAGACAGTGACAGGAGAGAGCAGCATGGTAAGAGTTGAGCAGTCTCAAGTGAAAAGTTTAAAAAGCACAGGTCTGTGGTTAAAATGTATTTCATGCGCATTGCAGATAATAGACAAAGTACATCTTCTAATTTTTTTCTAGGTGTTAGGTTAGTGATTATCCACTTAACATTTACCCATAACAAGCTTATTGACCCAGAAAGCTGGGAAGGCCACTGAAAGGCACAGATCCTTTCCACAAGAGAGGTTGTTTCCCAATCCCCAGTCAGCCCCTTAACTCTATTTGTAACACAGACCAAGAAAAGAATGCAATCACACTGGATGCATTCGAGCAAGGAACAGTTTTCAAGGTGGGGAAAAGCCTATTATCCCACAGGCACACAGGTGAAAACATTGAGAAATTAGTGTGCTGATTTATAAAAGCCTCATTAAGAAAAACACCTCGTGATGGGTGCATTAAATTTGGTGGAGCAGTTCCCCCAAAGTATTAGGGAAACTTGATTATATTCATTGTCAAAGGTTAAGCAACTGGGTTAAAGCATTTCAAGCCAAAAGGAAATAACTTATGTGATTAAAAAAAATTAATTGCAGAAGTTATTTCACTGCCTCAATGAGCAGAGTGGGGATGCTGATACATATAGTATAGACACGAATCTGCTTTAAAGTCATCTTTAGAGGGATTTATGAGAACACCTGGCCTGTATATAGAAATATACATTCCTTACCCTTCAGCTGCAGGACAGGTGTCTCAAATGAACTGACGAAGAGGGACTTAGGGAGTTCAGATAGATAGTGAGGGGGAGGGGAAGGATTGAAAGTTAACCAGTGCTTTTTCTAATGTGAAGATTTTCTCATTCCCCTGCTTAAATACCATTCATAGCTTCTGAGGCCTCAGTAAAATAACTGTTTCCCCCAATTTACCTTCATAATCTGACCTCTGCTTCCTTTACAGCTATATCTTTTGGCATGTGTCCTCTCCCCTGGCCCTGGAGTGCTGGGTTCAGAGAGTTACATAGTATGGATTGAGGAGCCAGGACTGCTGGCTCTGCCACAACTCATCAGTGGCCTCCTGTGTACAGTATCTTTTCTGATAAGTGAATCCTCCCCTATAAGTTGTGAGCACTAAGTCAATATTTCTAGAACATTTAGGACAGATCAATGTTACATAAGTTTGTAAAACTAAATTATCCTGAAGCATCATGTTCTCTTTTGTATTTTCACACTTTTGTACTTACTATCCCTTAAATCCTGCCCTCCATGCTCCACCCCTGGTCTTGCTTAATGCCTACTCATCTTCTAACCCAAGCCTAGAAATTACGTTTGAGAATCAAACCACTGTGAAAGTGGTTAGTGATAGTCACCAATGATTCCTGATTGCTTTTCCTATGGGAAAGCTTCAGATCCTCTTGAACTTCAGTGTAGCCTTGTGACTTGCTTTGACCAATTAAACATGAATAGAAATTATGCTCTTTTTCCAAGCAAAAACTTGAGGAACCAATGCAAAAGTTGTCATGTCCACCTCTTATTATGTGAGGCTACTACCCTAGCATCTTGTGTCAAGTTGAAGACATCATCAATCTTGGTGTCTAATTGACTAGGAAGAATAGGGATCCCTATAACCACAGTGGGGCATGAAAATTAAGGAATACACACATATTAAGCTACTGAGCTTTGCTTATTCTGACATTCCTTCTCCTCTCCCAGGCTAACTTAAATGCACTTATTTTAAATCTTTGCTCCCCTATAATTGTTTTCTTGTGTCAGCACTTAAAACATTGAATTCCAGTTGCTTTTTTTAAATCTTTTTAAATTTTTTTTAATTAGTTACACATGACATTATAAATCTCATTATATTTCAAATGAGAAGGGAACTGCAGGAATGTAGAAAATGTAGGGTGGCCATTAATTCTCACAGGTAGGACTTGCTTCAGTAAGGGATTTGGAGACTACCCCACAATGTCGACTTAGTTGCGAAAAGACAGATCTGATTGTAAGGAGTATGAATTAGCATTAACAGGCATCTTGACATATCATACATTTGAATCAGATGGGATATAATTTCTCATTTTTCTGAGTGTACAGGTTGCAGAATTACATTGGTCATGCAGTCACGCATATACCTACAGCAAAAATATGTCTGTTTTATTCTGCTGTCCTTCCATTCCCCTCTTCCTGTCCCCTCCCCTCCGGTTGCTTTTTTAGATCTCTGTTTCTGCCAGTAGTAAGTCACCAGAGAGCAGTGACTACATTTTTATATTTATGCTTGCATAGAGCCTGACATAAAGCAAGGCTTACAACTATATGTTGAATCCCTGTCTTCTAATGAGGATTGAAATGAGAAAAGAGTGCGCTTTGAGTAAGTGCTAAATGCCCTCAAGGAACTTTTAAAAATTCCTTTCTGTTCTGGTTGGGAGGAAGAACAGAAAAGTGGAATGCCCTGTTCTTAAAACAGATTTCAGGTTGAAGTGTTTGGAATCAGGACAGAAGTTCAGGTTCAGGGAAGTTTCTGAGGACCAGCAAAGAAGTCTGAGGTCAGAAAGTGGGTTATTTGATTTCATGGTCTGGTTCACTCTTTGCTTAGACTAAATTGGAATGAAATACTTTGGGGTTTGGTTTTGTTTTGTTTTTGAGTCTCATTAAGTTGGGAGACTGGAGCTCCTGATCCTCCAACCTCAATCTCCCAAGTACTTGGGATTACAGGCATATGGTGTCTTAAATACTTTTGAAAACTAACATGGATGGGATCTTCATGTTCTTATGGTATTTTCAATGGAAATAGAGGTGACTCATATGTGGGATTTAAATCCAAAAGAAAAAATTAGATGGATACGTATATATTTGACTTTGAAGTTAGTAGGTGCTAACTACTGTGTGTTCTCACTGGTTTTCAATAGAATAAGAATAGAACAGTAGGATAATATACATGTCATGTTAGAAGTTTGAAAGAAAAGTAGAATTATTAGATCTGAATTTTCTCTGATATGGTGCAGTGTTTCCAATTCTATCAGCAGATATTCTTTTTGAACTGTGATTGAAACCCTCTCAGCTTTCTTCTAAAATTATATTTCAAATGAGAAGGGAACTGCAGGAATGTAGAAAATGTAGGGTGGCCGTTAATTCTCACAGGTAGGACTTGCTTCAGTAAGGGATTTGGAGACTACCCCACGATGTAGACTTGGTTGCCAAAAGACAGATCTGATTGTAAGGAGTGTGAATTAGCATTAACAGGCAGAGTTGCTCTGAAACGCACCAGGATAGGCCCCTGTTGCTCTCTGATTCTAAGCCTTGAATTATAATGTGATAATGCCTGCCAGTTTCCATTTGTCTGTCATCAATAGAGATTTCACTTATCATACATGCCACATGAGTAAGGAAATGTAGAGTAATAAAGTGGATAACACTGAACCTGAGAGGGGGGTCACCAGAGAGATGGAGACAAGAGCCAATCCAAGGAGTGACTTTCATTTGCTCGTATCAATATTTAGTATAAAAGGTTTATAAGCAACATCTCTTTGGAATCTTGTAATCAAAGAAGGCCATTCTGCAAGCATTGTAAATAAACAAACCAGCTCATTTGCAAATATGAGCACAGTTTGTCTACTGCATTGGATGGCTCACTGACTTTTCTGTTTCTGCCACTAAACTGTAAATCACCAGAGGGCAGAGACTAAATTTTTCTATTTAGTGCTTCCACTTCCTATTCCCTTACTATTTTATAAAGGGTGTATTACAAGTCATCAACATTATGCTTTGGTCTGTCATTTTCAAAATATCAACATTTGGGATTATTTCTGTTTGTTTACATTTATACAAACTTTTATACAACTTTTATGCATCCTTCTTAAGTAAAAAATTCTCATATTAGAAGGCCCCTGCCCCAAGGTAGGACACTGCTAGTTGACTCTCAATATCCATTCTCCCCATTTTCTTTTGTCATAGAATCTCCATCTTCCCAGGCAAGAGATGTCATTTCTGATATGATTAAGTTCTACAATGATAGCAGAAGTGTCATATGTCATTTCCAGGAAATTTCCTTAAAAGAGAGGGAACAATCCCCAATCCTCTTTCTCCTTCCTGCTGTTTGGAATGCAGATATAATGGTTGGAAGTATAGCAGCTATTTGGGACTACGTGGTGACATAAAAAATGGAAACCATATGCTGAGCCATGACGCCAGCCCTGTTTTGTATTTTATTTAGAGACAGGGTCTCACTGAGTTGCATAGTGCCTCGCTTTTGCTGAGGCTGATTTTGAACTCGTGATCCTCCTGCCATAACCTCCGGAGTTGTTGGGATTACAGGCGTGTGCCACCGTGCCCAGCTAGTTCACCTATTCTGATTACTAATACAGTTGGTTTCTGGTGTCTTACTTTAACTGTTAGGTGAGGTCATGTTTCCCTGAAAGTTTTTGATACATCTTGGTGTATGGCATCAATCATCTGGACATTAAAGGCTTAGGTATTTATTTCAGTTTTTTGTAATCTGGCTTTGAGCCTGTCTTTCCAGAAACCCTAAGCAGACTGCTTATTTTCTCTGCGCCCATAGTCACTTTCACTATTTCAGCACTGGATGGTGGCTTGAGTCTATGTTTGCTCTGAGTCTACGGCTGGAGTTTTGTTGCTGTTTACCACTAGAGGGTGTTTGGAGCTCAGATTTGTCCCAAATACACAGGTGGTGTATTCAGCATGAAGCAGGGGAGTACCTAACAAAGGGAAATTCATCCCCTCAACCCTTCCGTGGGGCCAGGCTCTGCCAACATGACTCATTCTCAACTACTGGCCTATGGTCCAGCACTGCAAAATTCTGCCTAGTTCTGGCAGAATCATCATGGAGGGAGGGCCTAGCCTTATGCTTGTATGTAACACCTGTGGCCACCAATGACAGAATGCTGTGTCATAACCTAAGCCCACTGCACGACACAGGGGAAGGACCAAGGCCTACAATACCATGGGCTGCCTATGCTGCGGTGGACTCATGGCTCAGGATCACCACAGCCAGCTACTTGCGATGCTGATCAGGATAGAAGTCCAACTCTGCCTGACACAGGCTGGTTCAGAGGCCCATCCATGGGCACTTGCCTGTGGGTGGTGGCTTTTAGGACTTGCACAGTGTTAGATTTCACCAGCACTGGGTTCCAGGAAAAGTCCTGTGCTTACTATTTATCTTACTCCAGCAACTGGAGTCTTATTTCATACTGTGGCCTGAGACTGAGACAGTGTTGATGAAGGTAGTCCCTTGACCTCTGAAGTTGACACTAAGCTGGATCACACCAGAATCTCACAGCATCAGAGAGTTACTAGTCTCAAGGAAGAATTTCTCCAGGCCCATTCCAAGACTGTCAGTGATCAAGGCCAAAACATGAGTCTGTCCCACCAACCATAGATCTCTACCTACTGGGAAAGATCAGAGGCTTTATCTGTGGGCTCTGTCCTGAGTATAGGGGCCTTTGGGTTTTGTCTGCCATCACAACACGTGACGAAATCAGACAGGGTCACTCCAGATGAATTGGGGTGGCACATAATAATCTCACACAGAGAAAATATCTTTTTCTTGGGGTTCAGCGATGGCTCCTCCTCATCAGCTCCCACAAGGGAAGCAAGAGAGGGAGGGGGGGAGAGAGAGAGAGAACGCCAGAAGCCCTAATTATTGAGGGGAAGGCACTTGAGAAAGTTCCACCCTAATGAGGCAAGGGATTGGGTTTCAGGGGGGTGTAGCCCAGTCCCATTGGCCTCATTCCTCTGCAGAGCAGAGGTGGGGATCCATCTGCTTCTGGAACAGGAAAGCCTTCTCCACACATCCATCGCTCAAGGCTAAGGGTCATGCTCAGCTCCTTTTCATGGCGGCTCTCGACAGTCTGCTGCTAGGTCTCATCACAACAGGACTGCACAGGCAAAGCCCTTTGCAGCTTTTCTACCCTACTCCCCAGTGAGTGGAATCTTGCTCACCCTCTGCTGCCCACAGTTGGAGGAGGGTTGAAGGAGGCAGCCCCTTGGCCCCCTGGTGAACACAGTTCTAGCAGCTCAGTCTGCAGATACTACCATTGGGGCTCTACAGATCCAAAGTTTCACAATGGCAGACCTGGCATTGGGTTTCAGGTGTGAGGCCTGGACTTAATTCCTTCTCTCTCTTCTAAGTCAGAGGCATCTTTCTCCATGCTGCTGGAGTTGGGGAAGGAGTGACATGGGCAACCCTTTCCTTCTTGCTTTCTTTAATACACCTTTTCTTATTATAATGCTAAAACCTCTATGGTCTTTCCCCTAGATTCCTTAACTCTTGTGAACAGTTTGGTGTGTGAGCAGCTGTCCAAATTGGTGTGTCTGTGAGGAGACAATTGATAGAGGATCTGTCAATCTACCAATTTGCTCCATCTTTCTCTATTTTTAATTTTTTGAGTAACTGCCATACTGATTTCCACAGTGGCTGTACTATCGTACATTCCCACCAACTGGGAATAAAAGTTCCAATTTCTCACAGCTTCACACAACTTACTATTTTCTGCATTTTCATAGTAGTCATCCTAATGTGTGTGAGGTAAAACCTCATGGTAGTTCTGATGTACCTTTCTCTAACGATTAGTGATATTGAACTTTTTTTTAGATGTTTACTGGCATTTGAATATACTTTTTGGAAAATGTCTATTCAGGTCCTTTGCCCATTTTTAAAAGAGGTTGTTTGATTTCTATGATGATGAAATACTGAATCTGCCCTCACGTATGATTTGGAGAGCAGCTTCCTCATGCTGAGAACAGAAGCTGAGTGGCTGTGTGTCCCTGTCCCCCATGGCCTGACAGATACCAAGGAAGCTGAGAAGGGAAACTGCCCCCTCACAAGTTAGCACAAGCTAACTAAATCTACCTATATTCATTTCCTGACTTTTCTCTCTCTGCAGACTCTTTTAAAGCTTTTCTTGTCTTCAGGGATTTCGAAGATAAAACTTTTAAAATTGTAAGTTTCTTCCATTTTCCTTCAAATCTGGCTGTGAATAAAACATTTTTTTCCACTAATTTGACTCTGAATATTTCTGGAGTAGTGAGCCATTTGGTAAAGTCTCTTTGCCTGGGCCAGTATTGGTTCTGCCTTTTAAACAGTGGTTGCAGTTACCTGTGTGTATAAGTAAAGTTCTGTTGAACCACAGCTCCACTAATTCATTATGTTTATGGTATATGTCTGCTTCTACACAACCATGACAGAGCTGAGGAAATATGACAGATATCTATTGTCTTTAAGTCAAAATATTAACCAGTTATGGCCTCTGATTTAAATTTATATCTTTTTTTCTATTTTAATTTCTCAACTTTGATCATAGTGTTATTCTTCCAATACTGTATTTTATTTATTTGTTTGTTTATTTATCTTTTTTGCAGTACTGAGGATTAAATCCATGGGTGCTCTACCACTGAGTTACATCCCCAGCCCTTTTTATTGTTTATTTTATTTTTTTTAAGAGAGAGAGAGAGAGAGAATTTTTTAATATTTACTTTTTTGTTTTCAGTGAACACAACATTTTTATTTTATTTTTATGTGGTGCTGAGGATCGAACCCAGCACTCCGTGCATGCCAGGCGAGCGCGTTACGGCTTGAGCCATATCCCCAGCCCCCTTTTTATTTTTTATTTAGAGAGAGGGATTCATCAAGTTGCTGCGGCTGGCCTTGAGCTTGTGGTCCTCCTGCCTCAGCCTCCTGAGTCACTGGGATTACATGCCCTGGTTCCTTTTTTATTTTCATCTGATCCATCTTCAAAATTCAGTAAACTTTTGGCTTAACTAATTTTTTTAGAGAGAATTTTTTTAATATTTTTATTTTTTATTTTAGTTTTCAGTGGACACATTTTTTTTTTTTTAATGTGGTGCTGAGGATCGAACCCAGCGCCCCGCGCATTCCAGGCGAGCGCGCTACCTCTTGAGCCACATCCCCAGCCCTTAACTAATTTTTATCTTACCATTTTCACAAACTTTTAGCTTCCCTTTCATCTTATCAGTTTTAGCTTTTCAATTGATCATTTGATTCACAGTGACTATTGACATTTTGACCATTGCTCCCTTGTTTCTTATGCAAGAGACAACTACAGACAGCGACCATCTGAACCAACGCCAACAGGACTCTCTTCTTAGATCTGCTCTCTATTATGAGGTAATTCTTGGTTCTTTCTTACCAAGGCCCAACTCCTTCTCTCTAGCTACTATTTTGGGAACCTGCTTATCAAGTGCTTCTCCAGTGAGTCCTGCTTCTTTGAGAGTGACCTGATATAAAATACAATAATTCTGACTACATACATTGCTTCAGTTGGTCTAGGGACCTAGGCCTGTATATCTCAGGTTACATTTTTCCAAGGACAGCTAGAGCCTCTTCAGTGCTGAGGTAAAAGAGAGCTACTGGCTCAAACTCCAGTACCTGCATATATAAACTCTTCTGCATCTTATTCTACACCTTCATGGGCTAAAATAGCTGTTCCCAGAGCTATAAATCCCAGTACTGGCTATGCAGGCAGGCCAAGGCTTCCTCAGAGATAATCCTTTCCAATTTCCAAATTTCTTGAGCATTGACTATATACCAGACACTTCCAGACATATCAGAGATAAAAAGTCCAACAAGCCCTGCGCCCTCTCCTCAATGAGCTTGTGACTGAGTGGGGTGACAACAGCCACAACACCAACTACAACACAGTGGGGTGTGTTCATGGAGAATGTCCTGGGAACACAGAGGAGGGCTGTCCAGACCAGGAACGCTTCCAGGAGAAGGGTCAGAAGATGGTCACCTGTGGGCTCCTTAGCCCCTTCCCATCAGCCCAGCACCTCTCTGAACCATGACACCTAGCTGCACATGGCCTATGGAGCCTTACTCCCTGCCACATGGATGAGGAACCCTGGCATGGAAGGAGCACCCTTCTATAGGAATCCCATGGTGAGGACCATAGGGACATGGAGAGGGGACAGCAACAACCTTAAATGACCTCATACCCTGTCTGACCACACAGAGCACCCATCCCCAACACCCCCCATGAATCCAGTTCCTGCTGTGGACAACAGAACAAAGAGGCTCTGACCACAGCCACACAGTGAGACCCAAGGGTTAGAGGCAATGACACAGATACAGAGCAAGTGTGGTCCAGGCTTTATTGGGGTCAGACAGGGCTGGGCAGCTGCCATGCTGGAGACCAGAGCCAGCTCACCAGGTAGTACTGGAGTTTGGGGCAGTGCAGGGGAGCATGGACTCAGTCATGCTCCTCCAAGCAGAGCTGAGAGTTAGGTAGTAGACAGTAATGAGCAATGAAATGAATGGTAAGGTCAAAAGTATTAAGTTATTTTAGGTTCTTTTTGAACTACCTTCAAAGTGGCTGAGAAAGGAAAGGGTGGTAGTTCATTTGTAGAAAATAAACAGAAGCAAAGGAACTAATGGAAAAATATGTTTAAAAAAATAGAATCAGTGGGACTAACTCCATTGAGGTTGGTGGAAAGCTAGGAAGTATGGCTAAAGGTGTCTCTATTTGTCTGGGAAGGAAGATTGCTTTAGTAGTGCAGGTGCACTGAGGTAACTTCTGACCAGCTACTGACTCTAATGCCCACATTAACATGGATGTAGATGACTTGCAGATGAAGCCCCCCTAAATAGGATAACTACCATGACAGTTCAAAAATTCTACCACCCAGGAATTGGGTGAAGGAATTGAACACCTGATTGGCAAAGAGTGTAGAAGTTGGTCCCCAGTTCTCTTGGTAAACAGCAAATAGTAATAAATTTGGAGACGACATTGTGTCCTTGGTCATCCTGTGCTCAGAGATGCCACCCCCTTCGGGTTCTCAGCTGGTGCCTTACTTTGCTTTTACTTCATTTTCATCTCTTTTCCACTCCATTGTCACTTATAATACAGTTCTCTTGCATGGCTTTTGGTGTCTGACTTTAAATTTTCTTTTGTCCAAATACAAGAACTGAGGTTTGGAGTTTCAGCTCCCTGCTTTCCTGTGACACTGAGAGGCCTATCTGGATTCAGGGAAGAGAGGAGAAAGAGGAGGAGGGGACTTTGCTGAAAAAGGATAGAGAACTGAAGCTTGCAGAGGTCTGATTGGAGAAGGGCTTGGGTAGAAGAAAGGGAGCCAATGAGGTCTTGCAGAGGAGAAGGGAGTGGAAAGAAGGAGACAACTGGTGCCTTGAGGCAGTGCACTAGCTGTGCCCCAGGTCCAGGGCCATCAGGGCAGCGATGGATCCCCTCCCCTGGTCCTGGCAGGCAGAGTCCTACTTGTTGCCCCATGCAGCCATCTTGGAATACATAGGTGTTGGGAGGAAGCGGCTGGACTTCATGTAGGCAGAGATCTTCTTCAGGCCCTGTGAATGGGAGAGAGGCAGGAGCTCAGGGCTGCTGCCCCTCTGGAGTTAGAGCAGCCCACTCCAGGAGCAGCCTTTTAAGTGGGCTTACATGCTGAGCACAGACAGCAGTCAGTTTAGGTCCACAGCTCAGCTAAAGTCACTCATTGATTTCCTTTAACAAGTGCACTACTTTAATAAGGACTACCATTTGGGGTAGATGAACCTTTAGAGTACAATGTAGGTTCAAAAAATACACACAACAGCCCTGAAAGGTTGGTCCTACCATCACCGTCTATTAGGAGGGTACCTGAGGTGCAGAATGGTTAGGCGACTTCCTCATGCTTACACAGCTAGTAAGTGGGACAAGCTGGATAAGGCCTGGCTCCATATCTCTAATCTTGTATTCTGTTTGTTGCACTCCCCTCCTCCCCTACCCACAGAGGCCCCATCACTCTATCTGCAGAAATAGTCTCCTTTTTCTTCCACTCCTTGTTGCCTGAGTTTGCACACTGGAAGGATCTAGCAACACAAAGGTGAGGAGAACATGCCAGAGCAGCTCTGCAGAGATCAAAGAGATATCATGCAGTGACTCAGCAAATCCCAGATGCCAGTATAAAAACAGAGGGAGGCCCACAAGAAAAGGCTGGGCAGGGATCTAATTAAAACTTGGTCATCAAAAAGTCCAAATTTCTCCCTGTGGTACTGAAGTTCAATCTCCCTGTGTACCAACCAACCTCACCTGCAGCCCTGATATAGGGAACCATAAGAAATGACATTTCAGATGTATTGTGTGCCTTCTTACCAAGAGTTGAATTCCTAGATAATTCCTAAAGGACTCAAAGAACAGGCTGCCTGTTCCCAACAATCCAGGCCATTCTGGCCTCTGGCTGCAACACTCCCTCCCTCACCCCATGGTCCTGCCAGCTCTTGCACAATCCTCAAGGCCACTTAGCCTGGGACCAGAACCAGCACTGATAAAAACAAGCTGAGAAGCAGATCACTTTCTGAGCTCAGTGAAAGTGGGAAGGGAACACAGATCTCAGGTTGAAAAACCTCTTGCACTAACATCTCAAATTCCCAAAGCTCTACTAAAGTAGGTTTTGTTGGTGACAAGTGGACCTGGGTGACCTATAACTGACTCTAAGATGAAGAGCAAGCTGTGCTCCTCAGCACCCAGGTGGCACCATGGGTACCCTAGTCTGGTGCCTGCTGTTCCCTGCTATACTCAGTTCCAGGATGAGGACATCTCTACATGCACCACTGTGCTGAGAGCAAACCTCATATGGAGGAGACTATCCGTGAAACCAAATGAAAATAAGTATAAGACTCCACTACCCTGATGAAAAGCTGGGGTATTAGGAAAAAAAACAGGTAAGGAGAGAGGAAGGGAAAGAACATCTTCCACCATAGAACAATGCAGACAAAAATCCCCCAAGGGTCCCCACATGTGTACTCATAAGCACCAGCCACCACCCTGGGGTCCCAGTGCTTACCCAGGTGGTACCCTGATGGAGCCAAGCCTATTGCAGAGCAGCTCTCAACATTGTCTGGGCCTTGCTCTGCCAGTCCCCCAGCCTCACCTCAGCCTCCCACCTCCAGCTGCACACACCCTGCCTTGCTCTCCTCCTGCACAGCATCCTGGACTGTGAAACCCAGGCTGCTCCTTCTGACAGAAGGCAGGGACAGCCACCCACCAGGGCCTTCAGTGGCACTGGGACCCTGAGCAAATGGCTTATCCTCTACAGTCTCAGTTTCCATGTCTACCCAGTGGGACTCATAATTCCATCAGCCTTGTAGGAATATTGTAAAGATAACTTTGACGCCATAAATACAAGATGTGAGTGCAGGTCCTGGCATATAAAGACAGTGCTCAATAAATGCTGGTTACTCTTCCTTCACCTTCAGGACTAGGAAAGCATCATAAAGGGAGAAGGGGAAAAGGACATTCAAGAATGAGGAGGAGCAGGGGCATCACCTCAAAGCGGGACATGAAGTCCTTCAGGTTTGGGAATGCATCAAGGCACTTGGGTTCAAACAGACGGTGCTGGTCAAGGACATCATAAGCGATGAAATCCACAAAGGTGATCTGCAGAAAGCCAAGAATGAGTGGACTGGAAGCTCCACAACCTGGGAAGAAGGACACTTTTCCTCCCCATCTCCCTCCCTCTTTACCTTCTCCCCTGCAAACCATGGGTGCTTCCCCAGGAACTGTGAGTAAAGCTTCATCTTCTCAGGGAGGCCTTCTAAGAACTCAGGTTTCAGTTTTTCCTGAGACAGAAATCAGTGGTCACCACCCTCAGACACAAGCTCCTTGGCAGAGAGGCCGGCATCACCAGTGGTGTGCATAGCCCCAGCCACCAGGGCTGAGTCTCCATCTTCCCCAAGTCTGGGTCAGGGTCCAGCTTCCATTCACTGCACCACCATTTGTTAAACTCCTGCTGGTACCAGACCCCATCTGTTAGAGGGGATGGGAAGTCAAAGAGCAGTGGAACACTGGCCCTACGACTGTCACCAGTGATGTACAAACCACCTTTTGTGGGTAAGACATGTAGGAGTAGTGTTGATGGGAATGCAAGAATTTGGGCCCTGCCTCACCCAGCACCATAGGGAGACCTACAAAGTCAGGGTTGTAGCAAAGCCTGCCAAACTGCATGCGAGAGTCCATAGCCTGGTTCTCCAAAATGTCCACACGAATCTTCTCCTCTTCTGTCTCCCCACCTGCAGTCCACGCAACAGAGATACACCCTCAGCCTCCCACCCCAGCCAAGCAAGAGACATGGCCACCATCCCCCACACCCTGCAGCCAGCCCCACTCACACAGGTTGTGCTTGCGGGCAATGTAGCGCAGGATGGCGTTGCTCTGGGTGATCCTGTGAGGCCCGTCAATCAAGTAGGGCAGCTGAATGGACAACCAGGGAAGGTCAGGTGGAACAACCATTTCCCAGTCCCCCACCTGAGACCTGGCACTTGATGTGTCTGGCCCATGGTAAACACTACATCAGCATACCATAGAATGAATGAATGAGCTGGGACACAGCTGCCATAGAAAGACAGTGTAGACACCTCACAACTAAGCAGGGCAAGGAGATGAGGTAGGGATTCAATCACTTCCCCAACCACCCCATCCTCCACACCTACATTGGGAAAGTCCAGGCTCAGCTTGAATTTCTCACTCAGCCACTGGCTTTTGTCATAGTCGGGAGCTGTGGAGAAGATGATGTGAAACAAACCCCACTGAGTCCAGCCCTTGTTCCCCAGCTCCCTCCCAAAGAATCAGAGGTAAGAACCCTGAAAGAGTGGATCTGGAATCTGAGTCTCTCAGCCTCATATTCCAAGGTTACAGGAGTAAAGAATGTTTATAAGGGCTGTGGACCCTACATGAGTGAGGCTTAAAAAGGGTTTAGGCAGGGGCTAAGGGGAACCCATTCTAATTACAGATACAGAAGGCCACAGCAATCCCCTCTCAGATCTTGCATTGAAAGGCCAAAATATACTGTCAAAGAGGTTTCTGGGAGGGCCAGGCTTTAGGTGCAGCAGGCCTGCAGACCCGAGCAACAGATGGTCTGGGCATGAGTGCTAGGCAACAACCAACAAGAGGCAGGCTGGTGTTTGAACAGGAGGGTGACATTACCGTCCCCCATGGTGTATCTCTTCTCCTCATAGCTTGAGTCTGTGTATTCCAGGAGCAGGCAGATGGGGTGAGCCAGCTGGGAGAGATGGCCATGGCAGAGGTCAGAGATGGAGGGACCCTGATTGTGTGACTTCAGTTCCTCCAAGGGGACACCACTCACCCTCTACACTTATCCTACACACACACACACACACACACACACACACACACACACACACACACA